ACAGCAACCCTATATGGCCTACTTGTGTGAAGCTTTGGTCTCCTCCATCGACTAAAGGCAAAGTAGTTTATAAAATGATAATTGACCAAGCCCATTCTGGTATTGCGTGGATGATGTTGATTTGGTATTGGTCTCTTTAGGTACACCAAACGAATTCACTTGCACTGAAGTCGACTGAAATCGACCCTCACTCCATGACCTTTCGACTATTGTCTACTAAGTAAGTATTTGGTGGTGAGATTATTACCTAATTTTTAAGTTTTATCATCCTATTGCAGCAGTGCTAACCCAATTTTATTATTTATAACAAGGAGACAGCCATGCAGCTTGGTGAATGTTCTTATGCTGGAACCTAGTACTACATATTACCATGTTTCGGGTCCCGGCGAAGTAGATCAGCCTCAGTCCGTTATCGGACGTTTCGTCGTGGAGGTTGAATTTTCCGACAGTGGCGCCAAAGCTCCCTTCCTTGCCGACCTTGGCATTCAAATCGCCGAGCACGATTTTAACATCGTGTCGCGGGCAGAGATCCTTGGACGCCTCGTCCTTCTCTTCCGTCGGGGCATCCAACACCGAATTTGCGCTCCTTTACGTGGCAACTGTAGTAGACGTCGTAAGGCCAGAGAACGTCTGTACTGATTGGTGCATTTTTTATATTGGGCTATTGGTAAAAAATTAAAAAATTGGGACAAAAAATTTTTTTTTTTTTGAGTCACACGATTGGTACAATAAAGCGAACTTCTATTGAAAAATTTTAAACAAATTGTTTTTCGTGATTGGGATAAAAAAAAAATATTTGTTTATTCACACGATTGAGCAAATGCGCAATTGGGTTACACTCCCTTTATAAAAAACCTCTTGGCCAGCGTTGCCGAATTGACGATTTCGTTGTCATTTTGACGTTTCTTAAGCCCAATGACGTTTTGACGATTTTTCTCTCAAAATTACGAATTTTTATTTCAGTTTTCCACTTAAATTAATACATATGTATGTATGTACGAAATCTGTTAAAGGGAGACTTAATCCAAAATACCTACAATCATGATAAAAAAAAAATAGGAAGGTAGAACCGTTGAGAGCATGATTCAATAATACAAGGTTCGATAAACTGACAGTTGTCTCTCTCGCACCGCTCCCTTAGCAGTGGCACCGTGTTGCTTCTTTGCAAATTTACATGGAAACAGTGTAGCTTTGGTGTGAAATAAAAGTATAAGCTTTTGTGCAATGTTTACTTGTATATGATTATGAAGCATATTTAACTGATGAAAACATAAGCCTTGTATGTTTACATCGATCTCATAGTAGTCTTATTTTAATTTTGAGTCATTTTGCAGTTTTTATACAGCTAAATAGCATATAAATTACGTAAATTACGTAGATATATCAATATTACGTTCAACATTTCGTTTAAAATGCCAGATTTCCTGCAAATACATTAGAATTTACAAAAGGAATTTCACTACTAATTGCCTACTTTGCGTACTTTTCTACTACCATTTTCGCAACAAGGGATTGCATTCTTGCCCTTTCTCTGTCCTTCGTAAATGCAACCTTTTGTAAGGGAGTGTCAAACCGCAGCTGTCAATAATTATCTAACCTTGTATTATTGAATCATGCGTTGAGAGGAACTTTTCACATTCTTGACGTTTGCAAGCAATTTAATTTCAAAATTTTACACACACATTCCTATTTTCAATCTCAAACAACAACAACTTGACCAATTCCTTTTTTTTACTCTCACTTTGTCAGTATACTAAAGAGGTGCTAACGTTGGTTGGGTTCTTTTCAGTGAAAGGTTTCGGCAACGCTTCTCTTGGCAGTTGGTAACGCAAACCATTCTTTGCGCCCTCTACTGTGAAATTTTTGAAGCGCTTTGCCGCTCGTTTCTGATTGGACAGGAACAGGGATTGGAACAGGGTGAAACCAGTGTTTATCACCCTATACTTCCGGTAGTGTATTCCAGTGACGTCCGGTAGTGCATTCCAGTGGAAGTTTTGTGATCTATCCCTGTTCTGACATTCATTGCCCTTTCCTTTCCCTTCCTTCCTTCCTTCCATTGCTTTTGGCTGCGTTCGCTTGGTTTATATTTTGTTCTTTGCAAATATTCTAGTTAATTACAATCTCAGTATATCCAGTAAACAAACTTAGCTATTTTTTTCTCGCCAAGTTTGGTCCCCATAAAGGACTAGTGTTGCAAGCAACGTTTTTTCGGCAATTAGGGTGTTGTGCAGCTATTTAATGTGGTGAAAATTATTTAAGCACTGGGGAGATTTATTCACATGGAATTGGAGATTGGGCTAATAGATTTATTTTAAATAAATTGTGAATCTGCGAAAATATCTTTTCAGCAGATGAATATACTTATTAACCTTTTTCCCGAAAATTTACATACAGGCTCGAAAATATGCGAGTAACATTAGGTTTGTATAGTAACAGTAACATTGCAGCGAGAGCGTAAAAGCAAAATAGAGCGTTAAAATGAGAGGAAGAGAAAACTAGCAGAAGAACTTATTGAACACAAAACTAGCAAAAACTTGCAAGTGAACAGTTGTTGCACTGCTTTGACAATCTGCTGTAAACATTTTACTATTTATAAATCAGTTTTAAACTCTTTGCTTTACACACAAGCACTTACACTGTCCAGTACATCATTAATATTTTTATTTCCACTCATTTTACTTTTGTTTGTGCCAAGGCGAATCAATATAAGGTGATTGCAGGAGTACAAAAACAAAAATTTAAATGTATTTTTTTTTTTTTGCTTTGGCGGCATAAACTGTCAAAATCTGTAAGAGTGTGTGTAGAAATTCAAGCAAAATTTTTCCATTTGATATCAGAAGCCGTGCGGCGAAACACATACACAAAATCAGCTGAGCAAGTAACACCACCTTATATAAATTCGCCTTGGTTTGTGCTAAACCAATTCAAAAAATGGGGGCTTTTGACATTTATTCTTCTTCTTCTTCTGCTAGCTAATTTCTGCTAGTAAAAATTTCACTAGCAAGAATTTGCAGCTCTCGTGTTGTTACGCTCTCGATTCAGTGCTCTCTTGCAAATATTTTGGGTTATCATACACTTTTCTAGTAAAAATTTGCAGGTTCCAGTACAAATTAGTACTGACTATTGGTAACTATACAAACCTATTCAAATATCGTCGCTTGGATGGAAAATTGCCGGAAGTGTCAAATTGACATTGTGTGGTTTTTGGATATCTTCTTTAGTTTCCGAGTAATTGACCAAAATGTTTTCGGATATTTGGTACAAATTGCGTTAGTATTGCTGTCGTACTAAACTAATCAAGATCTTTCAAATAGAGTTATCTGTTCTTCTTTAGTTTCGGACATATTCAGTGTTATCATGAGTTTCATTTTCTAGAACCGGGTCACTTTTTCACTTTTCGTTTGCGTGTATTCACTACAGGTGGATGAAAAAATTGTTGGCGAAATTTTGTTCGGGCGAAACTCACGATTAGGCTGATTAGTAAAAAGTATGTTAATTCATAAAAATTTTTATCACATTTTGGCGTATATCATTAAAAATGACTGCAAATTTTTTGACAAATGTCGTATACGATAAAATTTTATTAAACTCATAAATGGTTGACACTAAACTAAAAAAAAATAAGATAATTTAAGAATTTCATGAGCTAGTACATAGCATTCTCCGACGCTTTGGAGAAAATCTGTAGTCGTGTTTCTGAGAAATTGCATTCCAAACTTCAATCGTGAGTTACCGAAAGTAACTTGTGACAATCCTTTATCCAGGGATCTACATAAATTATAATTGTCATTATTTTTGCAGTTGGAGTATATGCCAGACGAGTAACAGGTATATACATGCAAGTATACCTAAGTTAGCTCGTTGAGCTTGTATATTTATCTCTCTCTAACGCATTAATTCTATATACGTCAGTACCAACGCCTCACTAAATTATGTCTAAATTTAATAATGGCTCTATGACAAAATATTCATGGAATTTATTCGTAGATTTTTATTTACTTCATTTCATACATTAGTATTGATCTGAATGTTTTTTACTAAATACCAGGAATAAATATTTAATAAACAACTATTTCATTTAAGCTTAACCAACTTTCAGTTGCTCGGAGCTAGTTTTGGAACGCTCCATGAAATATTTTCATGGACGGTAAATGCAACCCTGGGTGCATCATTAATGAGCTGAAAAACCAAAACAAATAATTAAATAAGTGCGTGCGTCTAAAAGTTTCGGAACAAATTGTGGATTAAAGCCTTTCGAAAGTGATAAATAACGTAAAAAGTGATTATATTAATATTGTTAATAAATCGAAGTTACTAATAATGTATACCCTTTCAGGGAAGATGCCGAAAAGGTGTGTATCCAGATGTCCAGAACAAGGATCCTTGTATAAGTTTCCATCGGAGGGAGAAATGCCAAGGTATGTTTTTTATTGAGTATAAATTTGATAAAATTATATGAATAATACTGGAAAAAGAGGCGCAAACGGCTGGATTCGGTGTTATTAGTATAGACGGGATTTGAATGTCAGCCTTAATTGAGTATGTGTGCCTCAGGTTTGCCCACGTGGTTGACATTGTTTTGATTCCAACTATGAGGATCAAATTAAGTCTTCACTCATAAATAGTTGTCTTTAATGAGTTGCTCTAGGTTACGCCAGGCTGAGATATTTCATAAGATTGTCTTTCATAGAGGTTTTTCTTGCTCTACTTTATGTTTCATGAGCCTGCGCTAAATGTAACTAGAGCCACTTGGAGTACGATTTTCAGCATCAGCTTTTTTGATGGATTAGCTTCGAGCAAGCACAAACACACACCTTACAAAGCGTTCCCACGACAGTCGGGTCTACGTAACCGGAACGCCCCAGATTTATATCTGGCCAAGGACTGTCACTCCAGCAACACTCCCCAAAAACCCTTTGGGGAACTTGTATACTGCTACAACAACAAAAACACACCTTACAAATGACAAATTGAACTGTCGACCAATCAACTGTTTTGAGAATTTCTGAATGAAAAGTGTTTCATGAGATGTTTGAGTTGAGTTGCTCTATTCAGCTCTAGCTTGAGCTGCTCTGCACTTTTTTCGATCCCATTAAACAACTAATGTAGATAGAAGATCATAGTTTTGTTTGAGTGTTCTTTATATTTAACATCAACAAATTCTGTAACGAAATTTGTGTAAAATTCATGGTTAGGCGGGCATGCGTGTCTAAATGACCACCAGTCTTAAAAAGCTGAAAGTGCATTTTTGAGGAATATTTGTATTGGAATAGATATGTAGATATTAAAATGAGGTGGACACCACGACCTAGTGATTTATTGTGCCCTTGAATCTTCACAATACTTCCTCTAAACCTAAATCCCTCAGAAAAAGCTGCAGCGCCTTAAGAGGTAGGGAGAATACCATATGGAGTTACCGATCCTATTTTATTTTAAAAAGCTTATTCGTTTACAAACCTTTTTCTACATTCCACCTGTGAAATCTCTTGAAATTATGATTTGCGAAGAATGCCTAATTTTTTTCCACTTAGAGCCAGGTAATGGCATTGAAAGGATTGTACATCTTCTTTGTTCTATTTACAACGAAAATGAACCGAAGTCTCCACCTAAACCAATTAAGTAGTGGCTCTTAAAAATCCTCACGAAGGAGGATATTTCTTTTCTGTTTAAATTTAAGAGTAACAAAGGCCAAGGAATTATGAAGCTTTACCAAGAAGAAAGGTTGTAACAGTGTTCAAAGAACACCACGGTATCTTTTGTGAACTCTAACAAACTATTTAAAAATTAAGTGTTATGTCTACTTCGTCCAGGAATGATGTGGGTGGCGCTGTCCTTGCCAATACGACAGCTTTGCTATTACCTTTAATATCACTCATATGAGGTGAATTCTATAATGCTAAGGGACTTTGCATTGTCTATGTGCGAGTATAATGCTTTTAGACGAGGTGAGACAGTTCCTTCTTCGACTCTTTCTTAGAGTTTTGAGCAACCTGTACAAACGTTTCTGGCATTAAGAATATCGCTTATTTACTAAACGGATTGCTATGATAAAAAGGGAAAGTTTCTGAGAACACTGTTTGAACTTATGCAGGGTAACCGAAACTTGGTTTATTTACGAATGGAACGAAGCTGAATTGGAAGGTTGGTGGAGGTGTTTTCGAGGCGCAATTCTCCATCATACAGATTAAGGGTGGGTAACTCAGCAAATTTATAGGAGTTGACTCAATGACTCCAACTCACTTTAAGGAGTCAGCTCATTCAACTAACTCATTTGACTCTTTGTATGTTACACTCATTCGTATCGTAGACTCGTTTTGAGGCATAGATGCGGTATAGCGGCCGTTGAGATAAAACAAAACTTTAAAGTGGGCGTGGTCAGCTCCTTTCTACTGATTTGAAAGGTGTAATTTTTTTTGTGTGCAAATTAATAGGGCGGTGCTAGGGGGAGGGTAAAGGTGGAATTTTCAATATTTTCAAAAGCTTATATTTCGAAACCTATTGTACCGAATTTCAAAATGTGGATATGGTTGGAAAGGCAATTGATTTGATATGCACATCTTTATATATCTTACATACATACATATTTCGAGAAAAACTAAAAAAAACGAAATTATAAGAATTTGTGAGATTTGTGACCCGCAATACAAAATACATGTGGTTGTTGTTGTTGTATTCTTGCCACCACCTTGTATAAATTCGCCTCGTGCAAAAACAAAATGCAAGACTTTGCCATGCTAAACACTGTGGCGAAGCGAGAGAGTTATATGGACAAATATGAGCCACTATGATTCAATTGATTCATGTGAGCCCTACGGCATCAACTGAGTTACTGAGTTACATTTTTTTTGGACAGGGAGTCTGAGTTACCGATTCACTTATAGGAATCAACTCAATAACTCAACTCTGAGTTGAGTTACCCACCTCTAATACAGATGAAGCAACAGTTAAGGACACGTCGGATTGGTTGCTCTCCAGTGTGACACTTTATTCAAAACGCGAAAGTTTTTGAGTTTGGTGTTTGGTTTTGATTTTTCCCACTATGCGCTCAAATAAAACACATTAAAAACGGAAATGAAATTTCGATTTGTTTCAAGTGTCAAGCAGTCGGAAAGAAAAGTTCTTTATGTTCCTTTAGTTCACGAGATCATGAGAGACTGCAGTGTAGATTTAAACTGCCACATAGTTCATTAAACTTCCTTTTTTGTTTTTGCTTTCGTTTGGCAGGAATTGTAGAAAAAATTATGCGCGAACAAGGACGCTGAAGTCTAGAAAAAAGAAGTCTGATGAGGAGATGTGGTGATGTCCGAAATAGTGCTATAACTTCTACCGCTTAGACTTTGTTGCTTTTTCAATTTTTCCTAATAAACAATCGTGGTACAAAGCTCAATAAAAATATTAAAAATAAAATGTTAACAAGCCACAATAACATTGACAAGGACGCAATAGTCTGGATTGAGTGTAGCCGTGCAACTGTAACTGCAACCCAGAAAGACGACTATACCCCATTTGTTATTAAGGCCCGTTTACATACAACTTTGGCGTTGCGTTGGCATTGGTGTCGCTTTGACAGCTGACTATGAATATATGCATTTATATGAAAGTCTCCATATAACCAAAGTTGTGCAACGCCAACCCCAACACAACGCAGAGAGATGGCCAACTCTCAACTTTTTGCGCGCGTCGTTCGTCAGCTGTTCTAAATAATCAAAATGATGTGATTTTATTTTCATTTTTAATCAAATGCGGGCAAGAAATATAGTTTTTAATGCAATTATTGATGAAAAATTTTGATTTATCTGCCGCTAGTATTTTAACTTAGTGACCAAAGTATTCTCTGATAAGCGTTCATTGTAGCAAGCACGGGCGTTACTCGCGCTGCTGTCAAAGCGACGCCAGCGCCAACGCAACGCCAAAGTTGTATGTGGACGGGCCTTTACTACCTCCTAGTTAAATATCATTATCGAAGTTTTCGACGTCATGCATATAACATGTGATCGATAAAGCAGTCCTTAAAGGTTTTGTTCATATTTCGTGAATTTTGGTTTGCCCGATTGTAGAATTTGTTGTTTGTGCGATGCCTACTCGGTTCGAGAGTAGAACTTATTAACAAGAGTATGGATGACGTATAATCCTGGGTTCTTTTTGGTCATTGGAAAATTTGTTTTATGCCGTCTGTTCGAATCCCAGCGTACAGCCAAATGGATGAAAAAGAATCGTTTCTGGGGGGCACTCCTTGGTGAATACTGACCAAAAACTTTCCCCCAAATTATCTTCGTACTAATATATTTTATTAAAACAATTAATCAAAAAGATATAGGAGAGTAACACAGATGATTTTTAGTGGGATTTTGACATATACCAGGTTCGAGCCACCTAAAAATGACCGCAGTATTTTCAAGCTTAATATAATCTTGATTATCCGCTCATATTCTGCTGAGTCGTTGTAGAAATCGCGCATATTTTACACGAAATTGTTAAAAAGAATTTCATGCAAAAAAGCAACTTCAGAAAAACTTTAAATAACACAGTTTGGCAAATTTTTACTTTTCTATTACCACCTGAGTAAAACACATCGTTTCTTGTAGATTTTTTGGTGCTAAATCCAAATCTGGCCGCAGAATAGCTCTAGCACGTCAGGAATTTGAGATATCCTAACCTCAGAAACCGTGTTTTGAGGTTTTGTTATGAGAACAATAATTTTTTGTTTGTTTATTTCTATTTAGGACATCATTTAGTATTACTCTTCCCCTTTAAAATTCATTCATTTTCGTTTGTTGTGGTTCGATTTTTGTCTTCAGATATACCAGTTTAATGTGAGTAATGCCCTGTATGCAGCCCTCAAGAAAACGGTCAAGAAAAAATTGCCATTATTTCGTGTGTGTGTCCAAGGAATACTTCACAGCCTGTTCACTCACTCTTTCCTCAAGAAATAGTGGAACGGACATATATTTCTGTTGCAAACCTGGGTTGCCTTGTGCTCTTTTTTTTACAAAAAACTTTAGAAAACCGTAGTAGAAAGCGTAGCAAATTTCTTAAGAACTGCGTACTGCCTCAAGAAAATTTTACACAAGAAAATTTCTTAGGCATTTCTTGTACGTCATTTTGTATGGAATTTTTGCTTTTCTTGAGAACTGCATACAGGCCTTAAGTATGAGTAATCATAGCTACCAAATTGTACCCTACGCAGAAAGGAAAAAAAAATTTTTTTTTGTTTTCATAATATAACCTCCAATATCGTACTTGGCACGTTGAGGTTAGGATATCTCGAAATCCTGACGTGCTAGAGCTATTCTGCCATAGGGAATAACGCCATATGGCTTTATTTGGCTTTACATTGAGAAATAATGGTATGGTCTTATTTCCCACGTAACTGACATTTTTTGCCAAAAATTGGATTTGCTCACAT